CTTTGCCTCCGTCTCCCGCCGTCCCGCCTTTGCCTCCAGCCCAAGTGACTCCTGTCCAGGCCCCTCCTCCAGCCCCAACGTCTTTGCCATCCTCCTCCCACCCAAGGACGTCTACTTTATCCTCTCAGGTGAACTCCCAGTCCTCTGTGCAGGTGGCTACAAAAACCCAAGTGTCTGTGACGGCTGCTATCCCACACCTGAAAACTTCCACCTTGCCTCCGCTTCCGCTGCCCCCTATTTTAGTTGGGGAAGATGACTTGGATAGGTAAGGTCACGCCAGAACATCCCCTTTGCATTGAAATAACGAGGGGTTTGAGGGGAGTTTGGCAGCTGGGAGCTTCCCCTGCAGGGTACAGCTGTCTCTGGGATAGGTGTGTTATCCCAGGGCCACTCCAGGTGGGTTTCTGTGGAGAGTTTGGTGATCCCACGCAGGTAGTTACCTCTTATCCCTGTGGGAAACAGGAGTTTGGCTGCTGCTTAGTAAAGGTTTCCCCTCTTTGGTCATGTTTACTGCAGGAATGGAACGTGGCTCTGGGATTTTTGCACCTCTTTGTGTTGCAGCTGTTTGCACAGACTCACTTTTTAAAATCGTTGGGTTTTTTGTTTAATTCCTCCAAAACTTATACTTAAGGAACAGGGAAGAGCTCAACACTTCCAATCCAGGGACACAAACCAGAGCTTTTTCTGTTCCCATTTCACCAACCATGCAGGTCATGCCCATGGGTAAAACCAGCACTGGTTGAACTTAAGCATTGTCTTAATTATTGAGTCATTAATACATTATTGCTTGAGAAGTAGGTATTATTTAAAAATGAGTGAAACTACACCTACTTCAACTTGATTCCCTGTAATTCCTGATCAAAACATGCAGACTTGGCTCTGTCCTGGAACTGGAGCTCTGGCTGGGCTGGGGGTGGTCGTGGCTTCTGTGATGGACTCGTCTGGAAAACCTCGTTGTGGGGCTTTTATTTTTGGTGGGAGGAAAAGGGGAAAGGAGCAGAATAACCAAAATGGAGATGGAAAAGAAGAAACCCAGATATTTATATTTTCTTTCTCTCCCTTCTAGCTGTTGGTGTGTTGTAGTGCTGTTAACTCCAGGTCATAAGTGATATGTATTTATTCTTTTTCCTACTTGACTTAGTTCCCTAAAAACTTCTGTATATTCCCAGCTTGGTTTTGGGCAGTCAGCTTCTGACTGGATCCAAAATCACCCTGTGGTGAAGTGAACTCCTTGTGTTCCATATTCTGATTACTGAATTGATTTTCATGGGTTATCCTGGCGTTGATGCCAACCAGGGAAATGTTCTCTCTGCCACCAACCTAAACAGGAGGCTCCCATGTGGTTGTTGCCCTCCCTGAGCTGTGTGATGTTGTTCAGCAACTGAGTTTAAATGTCTCTGTGATCAGCAAGAGCTTTGAGCAGATTTTCCCAACCCAAATGCCAGTCAGAGCAAATCCTGCTGCTCCGTTCCCTCATTTCCAAACCCAGAAGTTGTCCTGCAAATCTCTATTGTGGTGTTTTGGGTTTTTTTAGCCCCTTACACCCAGAGCTCTTTTTTACCACCCAGGTGTGGCTTAGTTTTGTTTTATCCCTGACCTCAGGGCTGGGGGTGATAGAGCAAAGCTCAGTAAGTGGCTTTATGTGACTTTTTCCCAAATAAAGGGTGGGAAATCCTACTCATTTTGCTGAGTCTGGTGGCAGTTCCATGTGGCCCCAGCTGGGCAGAATCTCCCCCTTAACCAACTGCCTTCCTATTTACAGGCAAAACTTTCTGAGCTGGACTTTTTGTTGTCCTTGCTGAGCCTGGGGAATGTTCCAGCCCCGAGCACAGGGTTGGAAAAGGGCTTGGAAGTGTCCAGGCACAAAAAGCACCTCGTTCAATTAGAGGCTCTTTAACCTCTCCAGACTTAGAACCTCCTGCAATGCTTTCAGACCTCACAGTAAGTCCAGGGGATTCACCAGGAGAGCAGGAAAAGCTGTTTGGGAGGAAGTGGCACAAACTCTGTGTGGGTTTGGTGTCGTGCTCCAAAGGGGCAGAGCTTGAGTAGCTCCCTGGGAACATCTGGCTGAGTGATCACAGCACCAGCCTGGCTACAAGCACAGATCCAGCTGCTGGCAGTGCTGCCTTTTTAGGGTTGGCATCCCTGCTGTTTTAGGGGAGAAAGGAACTCCAAGGAGTCTTTGTTAGCCTGTCTGTGCTCACCCTTTCTAATTCCTGTGCTCGGGCAGCTCCGAAGGGTCTGTTTGGTTTTCTGGCTCTCAGAGATGTTCTGGGGCAACTGAACTTCCAGTGACCCAGTGCTGGCCTGCAAGTAGGAAACTGAGCATGGATAATGGCAAAAGAATGGGAATTTTTGGGGAGAAGGGGCCTCCTGAAAGGCCAGGCACTGCAGGTTGACCCTACGGACACACCTTCACCCACCAAGGTCTTGGAAAGAAGTGGCTTTTGAGGGGTGTCTGGAAAAAGGCTGAGCCTTTGAGACGTGGTTTGGTGGTGAGTGTGACAGTGTTGATGGTTTGACTTGATCTTAGAGGGCTTTTCCAGTTAAACAATTCCATTATTTCTTCTATAGATATTTAAATACTGTTATTCTGCTCCTCAGGGTCACTGGGGGTGAGTTTTAGCCTGTCCAACTCTCCCACTTCAGGTGTTTCTTGTCTTCCTCCTTCCTTAACTTGGTTTCACAAGAGATTGTCATGCAGATTAGGCAGAGTCTAATAAAATAATTGGGAAAATGACCTACTTCCATCAGTTCATCTGTGCTGAAGTGTCAGAGCTGATGGTGCTGACAAACACCAAACCTGCTCCTGCCCTAAAAACACACCTGGGAAGGTTGTTTGGATCTCTTCATCTTTTTATGGTGAAGCAGAGAATTCCTGACTGTTCAAACCCAGGAATTCTCCTTGCTGAGGACACGAGAGACAAAGTGGGTTCTTTCTGCTCACGTGACTCTTGCCAGTCTGAACCAAACTCCTGATGCCACTGGGAACTGGATTTAAAAAAATCAACTCTTGGTGTCTCAGCAGCATTCAGGAGTTAAAGCCACATTTCAGTCCTTGGTGTGAAGTTAAAAGTTGCTCATGGAGAGAGGTTTAGCTCTGGGTCTGTATTTCTGACAGTCTTTACCAAGTCATGCATTTAATTTCGTGATGATAAGTGAAGTAAATAGGGGAAGTAAAGGTCAGAAAGTGGGTTCTGTCTGATGCTCTGAGCTGTCTTATAGGAAGCTCCAAATGATTACTGATTTGTGCAGATGGAGCAAGTCCCAGTGCAGACCTGTGTGTTTATTTAGTGCCATGTTCAGCTCTCACACTTTTCTCTCCTGTTGCACGGGCACTCGGAATTTTAAAGCTGTTTTATTTTATACTTGGCCCGTGCTAATTCTGACACTTCTGGTTGTCAAGCAGAGCTGTTGTCCTGCAGCAGCTTTTTCCCCTGGGTTGAGTCTGACTCCTGTGTTGTATTAACTTTCCGGAGTTTAGTCCAAAGGAGATTCTTCCTCCGAAACCTGTGAAGAAGGACAGAGAGCAGAGACCACGCCACTTACTCACGGACCTCCCGCTCCCCCCGGAGCTCCCCGGGGGGGACCCATCTCCTCCCGACTCCCCAGAACCAAAGGCAGCCACACCACCTCAGCAACCCTTCAAAAAGAGACCAAAGTAAGCCTGGCTTTGTTGGGTTTTTTTTGTGTGTGTGAGAGCTCTTTATTGAGGGAAGTGAAATGGGGAGGAGACAAGTTCCTATTTCTGTGTTTTCTTGTATAAACACCATTTCCTGTGGGTTGTTTCGTATTTGGACCCTCATTTATTTGAGGATTAGTGGTAGAAGTTGCTGGAGTGTGCCATGTTCAATCTCCAGCCACATCTACCCCAAAAGCTCTTTAATCTTTAATTCAGCCGTGCCCACAGCCCTAAAAAACCTCCTTGTGAGCACCCCTGTGTAAAGCTCATGGTGACTTTAGGAGTTGATCATTCCAGATAGGAGATGTCCAGGTTTTCTTGATGCATTTCATGATTGAAGTGTTGATGATGGAACTGCCCTGGCACAGGTTGCCCAGAGAAGCTGGGGCTGCCCCTGGATCCCTGGAAGTGCCCAAGGCCAGGTTGGACAGGGCTTGGAGCAACCTGGGCTGGTGGAAGGTGTCCCTGCCCATGGCAGGGGGTGGGACTGGATGGGCTTTTAAAGGCCCTTTCCAATCCAAACCATTCCACAATTCCATGATTCCGTGTTCCAGGCACAGAGAACTTCCCCTGATAACAAAGTTCAAGCAGTTGTTGAGGCAGCAGACTCTCTTAGTGTTCTGTACAGAGCATTACACTGCCTTAGAAATAAAAATCAAATATCCAGCATCTTGTGAAATAGCCCAAACATTAATTTCTGTCCTACTGTAGCATAATAATGCTCTCCAGGATAATATTCCTGCACAGCAGTGCCTGGAGTAGTTGGGATTGTACAGCAGAATTCATCGAACCGTCCCAAACATTCCAATTCTTGGGAGTGCAAAGCCAGCATTGCTGAGCTTTGCCTTTGGGGTTTGGGGGTCAGTTCAGCAGTCAGGCAGGTGGCACTGGGGTGGCACTGGGGTGTCTCACAGGCCTGTTCCCTCTCCCAGAATCTGTTGTCCTCGGTATGGGGAGAGGAGACAGACGGAAAGCGACTGGGGGAAGCGCTGTGTGGACAAGTTTGACATCATTGGGATTATCGGAGAGGGGACCTATGGGCAGGTCTACAAAGCCAAGGACAAGGACACAGGTAAGGCTGGAGAGTGGCTGCAGGTGAATTCCACCTTTGGAAGCCCGTGTTGCTGTGGGTGTGCTCAACAGCCACGGTGTGACTGGTTGGTGACCAATACCTGTAGAACTAGAAATGGCTCCTGGAATAGGCACTTCCAGGGGGCTGGAAGAACAGGAGCTCTGAAATCCTGAGTTAGTGCCCAGCTTCCCACTCTGCCTGTGAGATCCTGTGCCCTGGGTGTGTGGTTTGACCCCTGCTCAGGTGGTTGTGGCAGCCACAGGTGCCAATTAAACCTCTGCCTTTTAGGTGGGCCTGTGTCAGACTTGATTGTAGCAGAGAATAGTGGGAAATTCCGGGGTAAATGTGTGTTCCCCTGTGTGACTTCCTGCTGGAGCAGCTTAGGAGGAGCACAGGTGTCACCAGTCCAAGCGTGATAACTCCTGGCAGAGCAATTTAACTGGATTTAGGGGGGTAACCAAAGCTGCCTCCACCGCCCTTGGTGGGTGTTGGTGCTCGTGGCTCCTTCCCTGGAGCCCCGGGGAGGGCTGGTGAGGAGGGCAGGGCGTGAGCCAGGTGTGCCTTGGCAGGTGAGCTGGTGGCCCTGAAGAAGGTGCGCCTGGACAACGAGAAGGAGGGATTTCCCATCACGGCCATCCGGGAGATCAAAATCCTGCGGCAGCTCATCCACCGCAGCGTCGTCAACATGAAGGAGATCGTCACGGACAAACAAGATGCACTGGATTTCAAGAAGGACAAAGGTACCTGGTTGCTCCAGGTGGGGGTTTTCCAGCAGCCACAGACGTGGTGCAACCCGTTGGTTTAAGTGCAAAACTCAAAATCTGAACTCTGGAGTGGCTTTGGGTTTTTTTTTTTTTGGTTTTTTTGTGTTCCTCCTTTATAAGCAGTTCCAGGGAGTTTGGCAGCTGGGCTCGGCCTTTCCTCAAAGGATAGATCCCAGTTACAGTGAGTTGTTGCACTAGAGGGATGACTTCATTCCTGCAGAGTCACAGATGAACAGGCTTTAACAAAAAAAGGCCTTTACAGGGTCACTTCTAACACTGATTAGTGGCAACAACTTATCAACAGTGTGAAAAGTCTTGTGTCCTCCATCACCGTGGAAGGAGGGTGTTTTATAATCCCACTGGCTCTTGTTTGGGACCTTCTCTTCCATGAGAGAGAAGGGAGCAACACAAACATGAGTTCAAACCATGCATAGCGGTGATCTCCTCAACAAACTCTCCTGAAGGGAAATAACCAAAGCAGGTGGGTAAACGTGGCCAGGATTTCAGAGGAATTTATTTGGAGTGCACATTTAATTTCAGATGTCAGCTTGGAGGGGCTACTTAGTTGTTTTGGGGTTGTTTTTTAACCCCTTAGGGGGAAAAAAAAATCACGTAGGACCTTTAAGCCCTAAACATCCCAAGACTGTTAAAGACAACAGTGCACAGAAAAGACTATTTCAACAACTGAATCTACTTTTGTTCCTCCTTTTTTTGTGTCTCTGCTCTTCAATCATTTCTTTGTTTCCTATCCCAGGTGCCTTTTACCTTGTGTTTGAGTACATGGACCATGACCTAATGGGGCTGCTAGAATCTGGCTTGGTACATTTCTCAGAGGACCATATCAAGTCTTTCATGAAACAGTTAATGGAGGGTCTGGACTATTGTCACAAAAAGAACTTCCTTCATCGAGACATTAAGTGCTCCAACATCTTACTGAACAACAGGTAACCTGGGGGTGGATCCACCTCTCTCCAAGCTCTTCCCTGTGCTCTCCCTGAGAGGACACATTGTCCTCACCTTGGCTGTGCTCGGGGGCAGGAGGTGTGGGATAATCCTGTCCATAGTTCCAACTCCATGGCTGGATATCCACCTCAAGAATTCCTCTGGGATATTGGCCCAGTGGGAAGGGTTTGTGGTAGAGATGACACTGAATTATTGCCTTTTTTTTTTTTATTTTTTTTTTTACATTTCTTTGAAGCATTAAATCTGATCTGGGAAACTCAGACTGGCATATCCAGCAGTGGTTCCTGCAGATATGGCTCTGGGAGGCCTTTCTGCTCCATGGGGGGTTTCCTTGCTCTTGGACTGGGGTTTAACCAGGAGCAGGGCTCTGGTCCTGCTGGGTCCCTTCCAGCTCAGTGGGTTCTGTGATTTGTCTGCTTGACTCCTGCTGGGATTCCAACCAGGGCCTGTTTTTTTGTCTCTTCCAGTGGGCAAATCAAACTCGCAGATTTTGGACTCGCCCGACTCTACAGCTCGGAGGAGAGGTGAGGAGGGGACAGGATGGACACAGCTGGGGTGGGCTCCTCTCTCCTGGACATCCACGGGGTCCCTGCGCTTGGAATTCTGAGAAATGATTCCCAGTGTATCATCCAGCTCCAGCTGTTGGACAAACACGCTCCTGGCAGCCATTGATAACTTCTCATTGTCAAACCAGATGATGAGGAGCCAAAACATCTTTTCTGTTTGCCCTGGAGCTTGTTTAGCTCCCAGATCAGCCACTGCTCAGTGATGGCAGCACATCCAGCCTCCTGAGGGGCAGGAATTCAGTCTTGGGTACCTCCCAACTGGAGTCCTGAGCCCTGTAAAACCTGTGGTACCTCCTCTTCCCTTAACTCAGGGCAGTGGAGGCACCTGCAGTGCCCCTGCTGCTGCTGAGCTCTGCAGCTGGGCAGTGAAAACAAACGGGTTTGAAGGGGTTTGTGGCTCCTGCCATCAGTTTCTGTTTGTGCTTTGCCTTCCAGCCGGCCCTACACCAACAAAGTGATCACCTTGTGGTACCGACCCCCGGAGCTGCTGCTGGGGGAGGAGCGTTACACCCCTGCCATCGACGTGTGGAGCTGTGGGTGAGTGACCTCTTGGCTCTGGGCAGCAGCTCGGGAGCAATTCCCGTGGAATCTGAGCTCCTTCCTGCAGCTGGATCTGTCCCAGCCATGCACAGGGTTCTGATAAAAAAAAAAAAGTTTTAAAAATACTGTTTTAAATGTAAAATGTTTTATATTCACATTAAAAATATTTAAAAATATTTAAACTAGATTTAAATTTATTATTAAGAATAATAATAATAAAATTTAAGTGTATACTACTATTATTAATGGTATATGTTTGTATTTAAAATACTATATTTAAATTATATATTAAATTATATATTATACAAGTATATATTATATTATATAATATTTATTATAGAATTATCTATAATATATTATAATATATTTTGATATGTATATTATAGAATATATATTTATTATATATACTATATTTTTATATAATATTATACTGTAGATATCATATATTTTATATTTATTCTATATCTTAAATTCTTGTAATTTCATGTCTTTATATATATTATATATATTTATATTCTTATATATTAATGTATTATATTATATGTATTTATATTATTATATGATTTTTAATAATATAATGTGTATTTTATATTAATAATATATTTATATTATTGTATTATTTATATATAATATATTTTATATATGTATATTATTTTCTTTATACTATATTTTACGTAGATATATTCTATATATATATTTTTTATATATATATATAATTTTTTGGTGGGGCTGGATTGCCCAAAATAGGAACACTTCCCATTGGGGTATTCACAGCTGAACTTCAGCAGAGCTTAGAACACAAACAGAGGGTTGTGAAAGCCAGCAATTAATCCTGATTCCTGCTGGGAATTCTGGCAGTGAGGTCCAGTTGCTGCTCAGTGCCCTGTGCCATGAGAGGGGTTGTCCCTGTCCCAGCAGCCAGAGGTCTGTGTCCCCCTCAGCTGCTCCTGGCACTGATTCCTGGTGGCTTGAGGGATGTCGAGGCCTGAAGGGGTCAGAGCTGTGCCCTCCCTCCTCCTCCTCTTTCCCAGCTGTGTGTCCACACAAGTCCATGTCCCAGGACACACAGGTTGGGGCAGCTGAGGATGGTTTGGGGCAGCACAGTGAGGTTTGAAAGCTGAACCTGCAGGAAACAAGATCCCTGGCTCTCTTTCCTTGTCACATGGACACATCCCCCTTTCCCTGCAAAGAGTTAACACGTCAAGGGCTTCCTGCATTAAGCAGCCCCTTGCAGGGAGGTGATTCCCCAGGAGCCCAGCACGGGGGTTCTGTACACACAGGTCAGTCTGTCAGTGCTCAACTACAAGCCCTGATGCAAATCACCCTCCTCGGGCAAAGCAGAAACCCGGCGCTGTTCAAACGCCCCTCCCAAGGGTTTGCTGTCGTGACCTCCTGCTTTTCCTCTTTCCAGCTGTATCCTCGGGGAACTGTTTACAAAGAAGCCTATTTTTCAAGCCAATCTGGAACTGGCTCAGCTTGAATTAATCAGGTAAAGCGTTGCACATGCATGTCTATGAGAGGAGGCACTTGCAGGAGCTGCTCGTGCACACAGGCCGTGTGTTAGAGGAGCCCTTGTTCTCTCCCCCTGCCTGCAAAACAGGGCCAGAAATGCCTGGAACTGCAAGTGGGAATAGTCAGGTGTCCACACCCCCATCAGGTGTGTGTGTGGCTTTTCATTTATGTGCCCACTGTGAGCTGAGTACAAAAATCATGAACCTAAATTACATCTCACGCTGAAAATTAGAATCACAGACTGGTTTGTGTTGGGAGGGGCCTTAAATCTCATCCAGTCCCACCCCCTGCCACGGGCAGGGACACCTTCCACTAGCCCAGGTTGCTCCAAACCCCATCCAACCTGGCCTTGGACACTTCCAGGGATCCAGGGGCAGCCACAGCTTCTCTGGGCAACCTGTGCCAGGGCCTCCCCACCTGTATGGTAAAGATAATAAAAGTTAGTAAAATCTTTAAAATTTAAAGTAAGAAATTTTAAAAGTGTTAACATTTACAGTAAGAAAAAGAAAAATTCACTGTGTGGGTGGTTTATGAGCTCAAGCTCAGCATTCCCCTCTTCCTGATACCTCCTTCCTTAACACCCCACCGAGGTGTGCCCAGCCCTTGGTCATTGCTGCAGTGAGTTGCTCAGGAAGGAGCTTTTCTCTGGGGTTGGGGGCTCCTTCCCCTGTGTGCCACCTGCCTGACCCTGCTCTCCTGCCTCCCAGCCGGCTCTGTGGGAGCCCCTGCCCAGCTGTGTGGCCAGATGTGATCAAGCTGCCCTACTTCAACACTATGAAGCCCAAGAAGCAATACCGCCGGCGCCTGCGCGAGGAGTTCTCCTTGTGAGTGGCCTGGGGGGGGTCATGGCCTCTGTGACTCCCCTCTTCTCCTCTGGATGTGGTTTGTGGAGCTTCTTTCCCCCCCTGGGGAAGGCTGGGATGGGGTCACTGTGCCCTCCCTCAGCACCTGATGTGGCTCAAGTGCCTTCGGAGGGATTCCCTGTGGGAACACCCTTGGCAGTGGGGTATCCTCATGGTCTGACTTCAGGGAAATGTTCTCTGGGGGAGAGTCTAATTGTGGGATAACCCTGTGGGATTTGTAACCCAGTTGCTTTTCATAAATGGCAAAAATTAAAGTGAAAATATCGTGGAATATCCTGAGCTGGAAGAGACCCCCAAGGATCATCCAATCCAACTCCTGGTCCTGCCCAGGACACCCCAACAATCCCCCCCTGTCCCCAGAGCATTGTCCAAGCACTCCCTGAGCTCTGGCAGCCTTGGGACCATGCCCACTGCCCTGGGGAGCCTGTTCAGTGCCAACCACCCTCTGGGGGAAGAACCTTTCCCTGAGATCCAACCTGACCCTCCCTGACACAGCCCAAGCTGCTGCATCATGAGGAATAAACTTTGGCTGTGTGGATTCCTCTCAGGCCTGAGGGGTCTCTCTCTGGAAGTGGCTTCTCCACGTGTTCCCCCTTGACTCCTCTGTGTTTCCCACTCTCTCCCCAGCATTCCCTCGTCTGCTCTGGACCTGCTGGACCACATGCTGACTCTGGACCCTGGCAAACGCTGCACAGCAGAGCAGGCCCTGCACAGTGACTTCCTGAAGGACGTTGACCTCAGCAAAATGGCACCTCCAGAGTAAGTCCCAGCTGCCACAGCCATGGGCTCTCTGCTGGAGGGCAGGAGACCCTCCCTGCTGGAGGGATTTTTTCAGTCAAAATTATGATTTCTGGGCTCTTTTCTCTACTCTGCCCTGGCGTTTTGTCTTGTGGTTGAGCAAGTCACTCTTCCTGTGCTGTTAGATTTCTGCCTGATAACAGGCTGGTTTTATAAAGCCCAGTTTAATGCTTGTGAGATGCTCTAAAACTGTTGGAAGTTGTGCAAGAGTGGGTTGTAGCACATCCCTGTCTCTGTGCCATGGAGAACCAGTCAGGCCTCATTAAGGCTGTGTGTTAATTGAGTGGAAGAGTTGAGCAGTGTCACACTGTAGCAATTTCCTCCCACTCCAGTCAAGCAGATGATAAAACTCTGGCAGATTTGTGTGCAAGTACAGCCACAAAATTCCTGTTTCCTTCAGAGTTCCTCAAGGCAGGGCCTTCCTTAAATCCCCCAAACCCTCAGAGCTTGGTGGACTTGCCCTCACTGGGGTTTGTGTGAGATCCCAGGCCACTCAGGGATGAGATCCCAGTGCAAATTAAATTATTTCCCTGTAATTAGGCTGCCTTTCCTGTTTCCAGGACTTGCCCCTTCTTGGTTTGGCTGCAGTCAGGGGAACGTAGAATCATGGAATGGGTTGGGTTGGGAGGGAGCTTTAAGTCCATGCAATTCCAACCCCCTGCCATGGGCAGGGCCACCTTCCACTAGGCCAGGTCCACCTTCCACTAGGCCAGGTCCAACCGTGCCCAGCCTGGCCTTGAGCACTGCCAAGAACAGGAGTTCAAGTGTTCCAACCAGGTCCAACCTGGCCTTGGACACTCCCAGGGGCGAGGCAGCCGCAGCTTCTCTGGAAGCACATCCCCCGCGCTTCTCTTGGGGCTCTAACAACCTTTTCCTGTGGGGTTTTGGGCATTCCCCTGGTTTCCCAGGCACGTTTCTCACTGCCCAGTGTTGCCTTGCAGCCTCCCCCACTGGCAGGATTGCCACGAGCTGTGGAGCAAGAAGCGCCGGCGGCAGCGGCAGAGCGGGATGGCCGTGGAGGAGCCTCCGGTGGCAAAAGTTTCTCGGAAAGAAACTACCTCTGTTACAAGCACAGACACTGTGAAAAACAACAGCAGTCCTGTGCCCCCCCAGCCTGCCCAGCTCAAAGCAGAGCCTGGGGCTGCAGATGCAGTAGGTCAGTGCCCACTTTGCTCTGGAAAAGGCTCTCGGTGTGTTCCCTCCCTGGGTGTGGGAGGTTTGTGTCTGGTTTTCGAGCCTGTCTGGTTCTTTCACCTCTGTTTCTGCAGAAAGGGCATTCCAGACTCTCCCTGTCCTCGTTTCTTTTATTCCCCTTTTTTTTTTCTTCCCTCTCTCTGCTGTGGAGGCACACAGGGTTCTGTCTGGTTTTCAGAAGTCACTGATGAGCCGAGTGTGAATTTGTTCTGAGCTGTGTTATTAGTTTCTAAAAGAGGCTGAATGATGAAAGGAGTCACTGAGTCACTTAAACCAGGGAAGGAACAGATCATAGGCTGAAAGGTGCAGCCCCATCCAGGAGCTGAAGTTTGATCTTGTTGATCAAATTATGTAAAGATTAGGTGTGGGGTATATGCAAAAATGTACATTATCACACTTAATTGCAGAAAAGGTCATCAAGACTTGCAGGACCAGAACTTGTGCACTGTGACCAACCCGTGACCAACCTTCCTGTGCCTAGAAAATAGTTGGAGGGGAAGGTATTTTGATTCCTGGGAATGTGGAGTTACACAAAGCTGCCCTGATTGTTTGTGGAAGCCTTATAAAAACCCAGATACGGGGGCTAAAGCTTCCTTTGTGTCCAGTGCTGTGCTGACAAGTAATGAGGAAGACAGTTCTTGCTCCAGGGAATGCACAATCCATGTGTTCAGTGAAACATGGCAGATGGACAAAAGGTGGTGCTTGGATTAACAAACAGCTGGGAAAAGAGTGTCACGTTCCTCGTCCCCCACCAGCAAGAGGAGCTCCAGTTTAAGCTTCTAAAACCAAACCCTGGCATCCTTATTCCCAAAAAGTTCCAACATCAGTGTCAGTGTGAAGGGGCACCCTTGTCACTTGTCACTCCAGTGGGCTGCAGAGGGAGGTGGTGCCACTCCAGGGATGTATTTTAGGATAACCTGGATCCTTGCAGGTCAGGACAGAGCCCTGTGATCCCAGGCCAGGAATTGCCTTCTGCTTGACCTAATTCCTGCTGCTGTGTCACTGAACACACCCTTCCTGCATCCCAAACTGCAGCTTGGCTCCATCCTGGGAAACCTGCTTCCCAGGGCAGGAGGGGGTGACTGATCCATGGGGACATGGGGAGGGGCTGAGCTGCTGTGCTTGCCCTGTCGTGGGTTTGGGGCTTCCATCCTCATCAACATGGCATCCTTGGGATGCCCTGGCTTCCCAAACCCAGGAATGGGGAGGTTTGGCTCAGCTGAGCTGGGTTTTGGCAGCAGCCCCGTGTGCAGTGGTGTTTGGGAGGTCAAGGGGCAGTGAGGCAGCAGCAGCTCTGTGGGTGCAGTGTGTGCCCAGCACCACGGGGTGCTGCTGCCGTGCCGTGGGAATCCCAGCAGGATATCCTGAAACCCTCCTGGAGTTTCCCTGCCTTGCCCCAGACTGGGGATGTGGAGAAAGGGGTGTTCAGTGCCATGGGGATGTAGAGAAGGGATGTTCCTGGCTGTGGGACACAGAGAAGGGATGTTCAGTGCTGTGGGGTGTGTGGAAGGAGGATTCCTTGCTGTGGGATGCAGATCATGGCTGTGGGACGTGGGGAAGGGCTGTGGGATGTGTGGAAGGAGGATTCCTTACTTTAGGATGTGGATCATGGCTGTGGGACATGGAGAAGGGCTGTGGGATGTGTGGAAGGAGGATTCCTTGCTGTGGGATGCAGATCATGGCTGTGGGATGTGGGGAAGGGCTGTGGGATATGTGGAAGGAGGATTCCTTGCTGTGGGACGTGGGGAAGGGCTGTGGGATGTGTGGAAGGAGGATTCCTTGCTGTGGGATGTGGATCATGGCTGTGGGATGTGTGGAAGGAGGATTCCTTGCTGTGGGATGTGGATTATGGCTGTGGGATGTGTGGAAGGAGGATTCCTTGCTGTGGGATGTGGATCATGGCTGTGGGACGTGGGAAAGGGCTGCTCACTGCTGTGGGACACGGGGAAGGGGTGTCCATTTCCACAAGCAGTGCCAGGACCCCAAAGCCCCCCCGGCAGTGACGCTCCCCTCTCGTCCCCTCCCGGGGTGTCCCGCAGGCCTCGGGGACATCACGCAGCAGCTGAACCAGAGCGAGCTGGCCGTGCTCCTGAACCTGCTGCAGAGCCAGACCGACCTGAGCGTGCCGCAGATGGCCCAGCTCCTGAACGTGCACTCGAACCCCGAGATGCAGCAGCAGCTGGAGGCCCTCAACCAGTCCATCACGGCGCTGACCGAGGCCACGGCGCAGCACCACGAGCACCACGAGCCGCCGGCGGCGCCGCCAGAGGAAGCCATAGAGGAGCCCCCTCCGGAGGTGCCGGAGGAGCAGCAGACTCCGGACGCAGCCAGCGCTCAGGGAGACATGCAGAACGTGCTGGCGGTTCTGCTGAGTCAGCTCATGAAGAGCCAGGAGCCCGGGATCCCGTCCCTGGAGGAGAGCAACGGGGAGAAGAGCAGCGAGCAGCGGGCGCCCCGGAAAACCCCGACGAGGCACCCGGAGGAGAGCTCAGGTAAAGAAATAAAACCTCACGTGTTTGAGGAGTTGGAGCGTCCCAGGGAGCGGGATAGGTCTTGTTTCCAGGAGGATTGAGAGCTTGGAGCGTTGGGGGAGGGAGGAGGGAAGGGGATGGGTAGAATGTGCTCAGACCTCAGGTTTCAAAGTGCCCCCCTCCCTGCGGTGAGTGCTGGGCTGCTCAGGAGGTTTGAACTGCAAACATTCACTCTAAAATCCTTTAGTGCTCCACTGTGAATGGGTCAGTGAAGATTAATTAAAGGTTTGGGGGTTTGCCCAAAAATGAAAGGGAAGTCTGGAGGGTTGGTTCTTCTCAACCCCTGCCCAGCCAGCAGTTGGCACATCCAGGGAGGGGCTTTTTTTTGCACAGGAATCTCTGTGGGTTTTCCCATCTTATTGATCGCCCCAAGTGTTTTTCACCGTGCCCTTCCTGCCCTGTCGAGAATAAAAACAAATAAATAAACACGCAGAGATGATTTTTAAAGGAACTGAAAAGCTGGTGAGTGCTGAAGGGAGAGGGATAAGTGGCAGTTGTGAGATAAAACCAGGTCAGTTTTGAAGCCCCGAAATCCAGCTTCTCATAGTGAGAGAGTTTAAGAGCAGCAGTTGTGTCGCTGAAGTCTCGGATTTCCTTGCCAAAGGTGAGTGTAAATGATTCTCCATGTCTCTTGTTTCTGTTGATTTTCTGAATTTATTAGCCACAGCCTGTGACGACCTCACCCAGTTGTAGAAGCGCCTCCTGGGTTTGTCTCAGACTCTCCGGGGAGCCTGTTTTGGCCCGATCCCACCTCCTGCAATGTAGCTGAACGTGCTGTGTTCTCGTGCCTTCAACACCCGCCCACCACGAGCCAGTTGTGATCGTGCTTTTTATTTTTTTTATTTTTATTTTTTTTTTTTCTGTTGTTGTTGCCCTAGTCCTGGAAGATAACTAGGTTACTGTAGAGCAGATGGAATTCCATGCCGTTGTTCTCTGTTGATAACTCTTTTGGAATGAATTGCTGTCCCCAAATCAGCTTGGCTTTACAAATTTACCTGAAGATTGTTTGTTGGGTTTTTTTTTTTTTCTTTTGTTTTGTTTTTTTTTTTTCCTCCTGGATTTCAATACAATCTAGTTTTCAAAGTGGACTGATGGATACGGGTGGAGGGGTGGTCCTGGAAGACTACTGGTTTTCACAATAAAGTTTGACCTTTTTAATAACCAGTTTTGCCAGTGATTTGAGGATGTGATTCCAACAAGGTGTCCGTGGCCTCTGTAATTCCTTCACCTGTGGGTGAGGGGCAGGAGGCAGCTCAGGTGTGTTGCTCCAGAGAGGAGTCAGGGCTGGTTTTGGGAACGGAGCAGGTCGTGTTCCTTGGGGAGCCACGTCCTCCCCTCTGTGGTGTCACCTGTGGTGTCACTCACACGTGTGGCACTGCCTCAGGGGAGGGTCAGGGCTCTGCTCCCCTCTCCCACCTCCCAGACAGGCCCATTTGTGCTCCCTCTGCCTCAGGGGCTGTGCCAGAGCAGTGAGAGCTGGGGGGGACCGGGGCCTGATGGAGCTTTGTTCTTGCCAGGAGGGGCTTGAAACAAGTCCTGATTGGAAACAAATCCTGATTTTTGGGGGGAAATAAGGGAGAGAGGGGCAGGGGGGAGGAGGAAGCAAAAGGTTTTTCTTATGCTCAGGTCACTCTGTGCAAATATTTGGGGGGTGAGATTGTTTTGGATCTCTTGTGTTGGAAAGGTCGGGAAGCAGGGCTGGGGCTGGTGGGAGGGGGCAGGAACGGGTGTCCTGCTCCCCGTGGGATGCTGTGGGAGCAGTGAGGAGCTGGGCTCTGTGTGGTTGGGCTTGGCTTTGTGTCTGTCTAATCCAACACGCCCTGGCCACGCTCCGGAGCCGGGCGGCTCCGCGTCCCTCCGGCTTTGGGGAGCACAGGGCTGGTGTGTGGCTCCACGTGTGGCTCCACATCCACCTTTTTATCCAGGAGTGGGAGTTCCCTCCCCGGTGCCCCGGGTGTTTTAGGACAGCTGTTGCCGTGGGGCCTTTTGGGTGACGATGTTAACGAACACATTGCCCTGATCTCCCACCCAGGAGCCTTAAAACTCTCTCCCTCCGCCT